CACCAACGGCTACGGCGTTAGGTTCGATTATCGGATCGAGCACGTTTTCGAGGGGCGGATGACGCCGCTTGAGCTGCAGGAGAGGTGCGAAAACACGCGGCGTGTAAGTATGCGGCTATTTATGATGGACGTACGCGACATTCCAGGCTTTCGCGTCACCGCTTTCGCGCGCACTGATCAAAAAGACGGTCTCTTCGTGGAAAAATCAATCTCGACATTCCCGAGCGACATCGGTTTATTTGCTTTACGGCGCAGTTACATTTATACCTGACGCGATTCCCTCCGGTCTGACTCATCCTTTTTCGATTTCTGTGTAATATGTTTCTATATAGGATAATAATAACTCCGATAACACTTGGGTTGATCATTTTAAAACTATCATGAATGTTGCGAAATGAGCAGTAAGGTAAAATTATAAATTTGAGGCTTTTTTATTAATCGGAAAAGTAGAAAAAAAAGAGATTTCAAAAATTAGAATTGCAATTCCGCAAAAGTAACACTATTTAATGATAAATTTCTGAATCGAAATAAAAAATGTTGACTAACGCGATTCTTGTCATTGTGACTCTTCGAAAAATTAACTGTAATTAGATGTAATTATGTAGCAAGAAGTTATGAAAATTCGCGAGAATAACAATTACAACCGGAGATTATTTCTACAAATATCACAATGTTTACAGAGTTAAAAATCCTCAAGAAACGTATTCTGCCAATTATCTCTTTAAATATGTGCATTATTTTGAGTTACTTTGAATTACTGCGCCAATCCATTGGTGAAATTAATTTTGTTTGAAATTATACAAATTTACGTAGATGACACAGTAGAAAGCAACATTCATTCATTTACACATACACACACGTACATTCTATTTAAAAAATCTATGTAGTCATCGAGTTTCTTTTGTTCAGACAGTCTTGGATGCGGTAATGTCTGATCAAGTATGGGCAAACGCGGCACGTGGGAGAGAGTACTGTTTACCGAGTGTATCGAATTCGAGACGACGAAGCAATTTGACGTACGCAATTTATCCACTCGCTCCTAAGCGAGTTCAATTGCTGTTAACTCGGCACGATGGCGAAAAATTGTGACGAATTTGCCGCCGTGATGCGGCTAACGAATTTACCGTTCATTATTCGATGTCGAAGGACACGAATGTTGTAATAAGGAAAAAAATAGCTTTGCATGATTTGCACGAGCGCATCATCGAAACTTCCTTAGTCATTGAAAAAAAAAAAGAACGCATACATACCCCACGTAGGAAATTTCCGAGATTTGCCGCGCCGCTCTCTGCGGATAGAACATGATCGCCGCGCCGTTATGTGTGACTGTGCAATTGTCCTCGAAAACCCGCGCGGATTATGGCATCTTCGGAGAGAACTCGTCGGTTCACCACGCTGTTCTTTTCTTCTTGCAGTCGTTCAAGACACACCCAACAGTTTTGCCGGCTATCGATTTCCTCGTCGTATTCTCGGGCATGATTAGAGCACTGATCAAGCGCGGAATCAAACTTGTTAATTAACGGCCGAGAGTGTATTAATAAACGTCGCGTCGAGCGTATTAATGCGCGTGTATGACGTCTACGCGCGCGTGCACACGACCATCGAGACTATGTTGACCAGTGCACTTCTTGCGAACAACTGAATTCTATGATTCTCTGACTGTCTTCTTGAACGCTCTCTTCCATGTAGCTGTACGTTAGCGCTATCAGCCTATACGTGTGTATATACAGTTTACACGCACAGTGGGGCAGGAGTATATCTGCAAACGCACATCTCTCACACATCATTCTGCAGCGGTGGTGGTAGTCTCTACGCGACTATCATTGCACTTGACTGCAAAGTGGCAGAACGAGATTAGTGAATTTTATCTTGCTAGCTATTAGATATTATTTATGGCGGAAAGAGTGTTAGAACTTGTTCAAAGTTTCCCATGTAATTCGTATAAAGAAGAGCTTCAGCTATTTGCTTCCTCAGCTAAATTTTTATTATCAAAAGTCTAAGTGTGAATATCAAATTGACGTTTGATTGAAATATGCAGCTTTATGGAGCGAATGACTTTTTAAGATAAATATCTCTCTATGGAAAACATATAAATTACAAGCTAAATTATTATGAATAAAGAAATAAATTATTAATCTAATATTAGCATTCTTTTGCTTGCAGGAAGTGCAACAACAGCTTGCTTTCAAGGAAGTAGAACTGTACAAGGAGCTGCAACTGCCACCAGCGAATTTGTCTACAGTATTTCTAAATCTGGACATTGTGTCGGCCCATGGTTTTTCATATGACGGATTGTTCATCACTTATTTTATCGATTTGCCGCAACAATGGAGCACAAAACAGAAAAAGAGACTGTTCGGAAGAACACAAAAATGTCATTTAGAAAACAAATCGGCACATTTCAGTTATTGTACCGACATATCTTTACATTATCCGTCAAATAAATTTCAACAGCGGAGTGACAATAGGTCGCCGCTTTGGCCTCGTTTATTATTCTCCATAGCATCTTTGGACAGTTGGACCAGGTATTAAAAGAGCGAGCGAGCTTTATTCATCGATATATTTATCTTTATTATATTCAATTTGAGACTTCCATATTTATACTTTTTGGCAAAATTTTGCTTGTTGAAAAAATCATGAAATAAATTCTGTTTCAATACAGGTATCGAATAGAGGGATATGCAACTTTACCGATACCAGTGACGCCTGGTACATATAAATTTACAGTTCCCACATGGCGTGCGAAAGGTAATATCATCGACGCATTGAGACGATTTTTCATCGGTGGCTCGTACGAACTCGAGGATATAACATATTGCGGTATTCCGATGGCGCACGAGGGTAAAGTTTTAGACAAATCAAATTTGAGGGTTGTGCCAAGCGGGGATATCAAAATTAATATGAATGTTGTACATCAAAGTGGTACACGTACGAAAAGTTGTGAAATCAATGACTCTGACAGAGTGAGCACTGATGCTCTCATGAACAATGTTGAAAATGTACTTGAACAATTTAAGGCAGCTAAAGAACGTATGATACAGATAAGAGGGATGAGTTCTTAAGTATGAATTGTCAATATAATAATAATTAAAGATTGATTAAGAAAATGAATGAGTGTGTCAAGTCTAACATAAAGGAATGATATTTTTAAAATAACGTTTGCTATAGATTAACAGTCTTTGCAAGATTTAATGAAAAGACAGAGAAAAATGAACTAATAAACTTGTTAGGAATACGGAGATAAATCACGTAGAGACTCAGCACAATGTAAATAGAGACTAAAGATATGAGATGTAAAGTTAGAAATGATTTCATAATGTGCTGACTATACAATTATTAATAAATTTTGTTTACCTTGTCATTGTTGATTTATCCATATATATATCTATATTTAATACTAAAATATAATTTTTAAATATATTTTTATATTTATTTTTATCAGTAAATTAATTTTTAGGGGTATTTTTAATATTTCTAGAGTCTCTGTTCAAATAAAATTTGCTTTACAAGTATATAGACAGCTATATAAATATGTGTTTATTATTAGTAAAATTATTGTTAAAAACATTTGTATGCTACAAACTATAAAATGGATATGCGTAAAAAAATATAAAAAATTTATTCGATCAACGTTATTATTTGTTAAAATAGTTTATGTAAATTTTATGTTTATTAAATACTCTGTTTTATTGCAAGAATCTGAGGAAGGGAATAAATTAGAATAATATTAATCCCGTCACAGCGAAGAGGTGCCCCCATCCCATTCAGGTTTTTATTGCCATCTAGCAGTAGCGTTTTGTAAACGTTTAGACATAACGGAACATCCATTGACTGTGGGTGGTGGATACTTCTATTCATTCTTTTCCACAACATTATTGTCGTAAAATAATTCAAATCAAAATGTTGCTTAACGTTGTATTGTTTTTTATCGTAGAAATTTTTCGTGTCTGGGATGCGCATCTGTCTGAATAAACCGCGCATCAGCGGCTCTCAACGCGCCCTCGACCGGCCGGTACCGCCGCGACGAAATTTCCGCTACACTGACATGACAACACACAAGTTATTGTTATTATTGACAGACTGATAATGTGAGCTGAAATCGGCCGTACGTGTTCTGTGCGTACTCGAGAGCGTGCCTGGTCGGTGAGCACGTCAACCCGAGCATCGTGCCCGCTGTGAAGTCGCGGTGTTACGTTCGGGCTTCATTCAGCAACGACGAGATTTTCGCCGTCGAACTTGCCGTCATGAGAATGCAGGTTATGTGAGCTCGCGGGGCGAGCGTATGGAGTGAGCTCGTCCTCTCCCTTGCTCCGAGCCGCCGCTCGTAGAGGCGAGTGTTAGGATACGCGCGATGGGTCAGGGTACGGAAACGTGTGCCGACCGACCCACGGAGGTCAGCGTCATCAGATTCGTCTCGCGGAATCGCACCATTGAGGAGATCGCACCGAAAAAGGTGATGCTCCCATAGGAGCCATTGGCCGTCCGGGGTCGATGACCCCTAAGCCAAAACAAATAGCTGAGTGGGCTGGGGCGAGTGTGAAAACGAAAGTTTCTTGTTTAATAAATTTATCTTGGCACAAATTTGACAGATATCTCCAAAATTTATATATATTCATATGAGATTTATTTTAATAATTACAATGTAATTATTGGAGCAAATTTGATATAATATTGCACAACTATGTTTTATAGCTGTAATTACAAATTTATACATTATACTTTGCACTCAAAGAACTATTCTATTCTCCAATTTTTTTTAATTTATGCACTCTTTAAAGACTTAATAATTTATAAAACAAATAATTGACTTTGTTTACATGTATTGTTTTACTTGGGGTTTATATTCAAATTTATCAAATATAGTTTGTGCCACTTGCCTCAGTTTATTAAGCATTAATATTAAAAGAATCTAGATGAGTTTAAATCTCGATGCGTAAGGTACATAAAAATATCTCTTTCTGTGAAACATTATTTTTAATTAAGTTTAATTAACATTCTAATTGTTCAATGTGTAGGAAGTATATACTTGTAAACAACGAGGTTGTGGAAAGGTGTTCACTAATCAAGATGAATATAAAACGCACGAAGCGCTAGAAGCTTTGAAGATTCGATTTATGTAAGTTTGAAACAGAATTTATTACATATTGCATCAAATAGATAAAAATCAATTGTGTATCTACAAATTCATTAATATAACTTTGATCAGATATTGTTGTAGAATATTTGTTAGTAATATCTTTTGAAATTAAGGTGTCACTAATAATTTTTTGTGAATTTGTTACAGTTGTCGTGAACCAGGTTGTGGAGAGGAATTATCAGATCCGGGTAGTATGTGGCGACATTATCAAGAATGGCACAACAATGAAACAAATGTTTTTGCCTGCCCTTACACTAATTGCGGATCTTTACACGCCACTAGCAGTAATCTGGAGGATCACATTGAGAGTTGTCACAGACAACCGCCTACACTGCCAATGGAGCCTGAGATAATCTGTTTTGAAGGCCCAGAGAATGCGATAAGTGAGGAAGTTATGCAAAAGACTGACGAGGGATGCTACGAACAACTGCCAAGTGAAAACTTCACTTTGAAGGAAGAATACGGAAGTAAAGACGAGAGTTGTCACATTAAAACTGAAATAAAAATTCAAACAAAAAGCGAATTTTGCCACGAGAATAAAATTGCGGTCGCTGCAAACAGCGAAGAATACTCGAATGAGTCTTTAAATGGTATTAATAAGTTTCCTAAGAGTGAAGAATTTATAATTAAGGATAATTTCTTACGGAAGTACGATGGTGGTGCAGCAAAATGCGAGGAAATTCTTCAAGTGGAATGTTCGCAAGATAAGAGTAATGTCGTCTACATAAACGGTGATGTGACCATTACGAAAAACATGAAAACGGAGATGTGCAATTTAAATCTACGGAATCAAGAGCATAGAATAGATTTAGGAAATTTGGAACGAGTTTTCCGAAGCGGTCTCGAGAACTCCTCCAAGTCCATTGAGGATAGCTCGATAGAGACCAATAGCAATTGTTCAGACGATGAGGAGTACACCCCAAAGAAACAACGCATGTCTAGGTACAAACAGGATACGTATAAATGCGACATTAATGGTTGCGGGAAGAAGTACAAATACATATCGCACTATCGTCATCATCAAGACAGTCACAAATTAGTCACGAATACAATTAATTCCAATACCGGTAAACAAATGCCAAAGGTGAAGCAAGGAAGGGCGTCGACCGTCAGCTTCTTCATGTAAGTGCACACGCATCAAATATACATACGTCTGCAGTTTTGTGTGCTTTATAAAACTCTAAATTATAATGTTTAGATGCAAGACGCCTGGATGTGGCGCACAAGTGAATAACGTAAATGCCCTGTGGAAGCACTATCAGGACAATCACGCTAATTCCAAGCCGCCAGTTGTACAAACTACCAAGAACAATGAAGTGTTTCGGTAAAGCATTCTGTAAACCGATGGTTGCAAAGTTATTTGTAAAATTCGTTAAAATAATCCTTTATTACGAAGCTCGCGTTCTGTAGCGTAAATAATAATAAGCCGACATTTCAAATGTAAAGTACCGAGATGCGACGTAGAATTTAATACGATGTTAATATTGTGCAAGCATTTTGCTGAAGTTCATTTTGATAGTTCCATCGGCAGCGCGAACGGAAAGACTGGCAACAAGGATTTCATTTTACCGAGGTGTTCCAAGAAAACGTTATTGCCCAGCAGGCAAATTTTAAGACTGACTTCAAAGCCAAGCGTAATATTAACTTGAACAATTACGCCGAAAGTGGTGGCGAATACACCATTCACATTGCTAAGCAAGAATTTTCGGAATTGACTTGAATCTCATGGAGATCTTGATTACGACGCTAAAATAGTTAAAAGAAAGAAAAGAGAGAAATACGACACAGTATTTCAGAGTATTTTACAAAGGTTATTTTATCTAGAGAGAATTTTACGCGAACAAATCGCTTTAAAGCTTGTGTGTTTGGTCTGTAATTGAACGCTGTTGATTATGGTAGAATATCTTAAAGTAGCTGTAAGTTTGACTTGAACTTTGTGAAATACTCTGACATTTTGGTCAAGTAAATCTCGTCGATATTTAAGAGAATTAATCGAACTGTTCGGTGTATGCTGCGACGAGACAACCAGCAGTTCGACTGAATATAGTGTTCAGTCCAAAGTATACATACATACATACATATATCATTCTACACGAATATAAGTTTCTTGTAATTATAAATAAGAAGCTAAGTCCGTTGCAGCGATTCACATCTGTAATAACAAGACTTCTAAATCTCTTTCTGTACTGATTTTTGCTATTTTATATTATATCATTTTTATGTAACTTATATTCGATATATATATATATA